CAGAGGCAACAAGGGAAAAGCCAATGATGGCACGGATGGGAATAACCCTGCAGAAAATGGAGATGCCAACACAGACCAGGCCCAGAAAGCTGACGATGCTGGAGATGCCAAGGGAGGGAAGGGGGTGCATTTTTGCTAACTGTACTTCTGGTGACTGTACAGCTTGAAATACTATTTCTTATCAAGTTTTATAAAAAAGCATAATTTTGTTTTACTTTTTTTTTTTTCAGCTATGTTGTTAATACACAGAACACTTCATTGTTGTTTTGGGGGAAGGGGCAGAGGTCACTAACAGGTCTCCGGAGCTGGACTGATGGGAAAACACCTTCCCCTTGTAGTTTCGGGAGACTTCCTCTCAGCTCCCAGGAAGGATTCCTGCCTTTGACACAGCCACCAGGGCACACACCCTGTGGTGTGGAAAAACTAAATTTGATTTTATGTCCTCTCCCCCCGTCTGCCTTTTTTTTTTTTTTTTTTTTTTTTTTGACAGGCAGAGTGGACAGTGAGAGAGAGAGACAGAGAGAAAGGTCTTCCTTTGCCGTTGGTTCACCCTCCAATGGCTGCCGCGGCCAGTGCGCTGATCCGAAGGCAGGAGCCAGGTGCTTATCCTGGTCTCCCATGTGAGTGCAGGGCCCAAGCACCTGGGCCATCCTCCACTGCACTCCCTGGCCACAGCAGAGAGCTGGCCTGGAAGAGGGGCAACCGGGACAGAATCCAGCGCCCCGACCGGGACTAGAACCCAGTGTGCTGGCGCCGCAAGGCGGAGGATTAGCCTACCGAGCCACGGCACCAGCCGTCTGTCTGCCTTCAGCATAGACTTAACTCCCTCAAACCCAGAAACCTGTTGGGACCTGACCCCAAACAGTTTGGTACCAGTATGACAGGCAATCTGGACTTCACAGTGACACCCCTGAGGTGGGGCTCCTGAAAAGAGCAGTGGTTCCTTTTCTAGGTTGTGGATCTTCGGATTGATCATTCTGCCATTTCATTTCATTTCCTGAAAGTCAGGAAATGTGAAAAGTTGTTAAACGATATGCTAAATGTGACCTGTCAGCCCTCACTCTAAACTTCCCCTTGCCAGAACACCACTTGAGGACTTCACTGGGTTTTATAGCAGCTTTCTGATTTTGGAAGTCCATTGAAAAAGGGAGTTCAAAGTTGTATGCTGTTCACGATTGTCTGCCCATGTCCTGCCTGAAATATCAGGATTGTTTATGAAAAGAATCTTTAATAAAGCTGGATACAGTTTGGCTTGGAAAAAAAAAAGAATCTCTAGAACATATGCAAACCTACAGAGACTGAACAACATGCTCCTGAATGAACAGTCATGGAAGAAATCAGAAGAGAAATAAAAAACCTGTGCAGGAACAGTTTTTTCTTTCATACTAGTTGTTGAACTCTTTACTTAGTACAGAGTTAATCTTCTGTATATAAAGCTAACTGAAAATAGAGCTTAGTAAAAAATAAGAATGGGAACAGGAGAGGGAGGAGGAAGAAGGGTGGGAGTGGGGTGGGAGGTGGGTATGGTAGGAAGAATCACTATCACTATGTTCCTAAAGTTGTATTTATGAAACTCATGCAGTTTGTATACATTAAATAAAAGGTTTCTGGGAGAAAAAGAAAAGAAACAGTACTAAGTGACAATAGCAATTCATAGAAGACATATGACATAGAATCTAAACACAGATGTATGATTTAATAAAGCCCAAAAATAAGCAAAATGACATAAAAGGTTGTTAGATCTCCTATGTAAGTATGTATAAAGTAAAAAGAAAACTATAGGCCGGCGCCGTGGCTCACTAGGCTAATCCTCCGCCTAGCGGCGCCGGCACACCGGGTTCTAGTCCCGGTTGGGGCGCCGGATTCTGTCCCGGTTGCCCCTCTTCCAGGCCAGCCCTCTGCTGTGGCCAGGGAGTGCAGTGGAGGATGGCCCAGGTGCTTGGGCCCTGCACCCCATGGGGAGACCAGGAAAAGCACCCGGCTCCTGCCATCGGATCAGCGCGGTGCGCCGGCCGCAGCGCGCCGGCCGCGGCGGCCATTGGAGGGTGAACCAACGGCAAAAGGAAGACCTTTCTCTCTGTCTCTCTCTCTCTCTCACTATCCACTCTGCCTGTCAAAAAAAAAAAAAAAAAAGAAAACTATAGGTATCAGAATTATACAGGATGATTAAAATTCAGAAAGATTACCTCCCTAAAAAAAGCCAAAGATAGCTTCAAGGAAAAGCCCACAATTAGCTTCAAAGGTTTTTGGCATTGCTGGGTCATAGGCTCATAAGAGTTCATAACTTATACATGCAGGTTATCATTAATTTTATGTACATAAAATATACCTTAGGGCCAGCACTGTGGCACAGTGGGTTAAGCCCCAGCCTGCAGCACCAGCATCACATATGGGTACCAGTTTGAGTCCCAGCTGCTCCAGTTCCGATCCAGCTCCATGCTAATGCGCGTGGGAAAGCAGTAGAGGATGGCCCAAGTCCTTGGGCCCCTGCACCCACATGGAAGACCTGGAAGAAGTTCCTGGCTCCTGGCTTCAGATCAGCTCAGCTCTGCTGTTGTGGCCATTTAGGGAGCGAACCAGCAGATCGAAGATCTCTCTCTCTCTCCCTCTCCCTCTCTGTCTCTACCTCTCTCTTTAACCCTTTCAAATAAATAATATACGTGTGTGTGTATACATATATTTATATATATACCTCAAAACTTTGTTTCTGAATAGAAGGTAAACTGAGAACCTCCCATTCTCAGCTGAAAAATTCACAAAAATTAAGGAGGCCACCTGGTAATAGAAAAGAAAGAAAATCCAATCATCGTCTATTCCAGGTCAACCAAGTAGATCATGACAAAACACCTACCAACCTTAAACTTCTGCTTGGATTCAGAAAATATTAATAAAAGTTAAGTGAAAAGTATTGAAAATTATCCCAAAAGTTTCAAAACAAAAAGTATTTAGCTTTTCTTAAGTATAATTTTTGCTACTTATATATAAGTTGTATCATATTGTTATAAACTCTATTTGAGCACTTCCAACTTGATAATATGATTGTGACACCACCTGGTGGCAGTACACTGTAACAACAGTCTTTGCCTGCGTGTGTGTGTGTGTGTGTGTGTGTGTGCGCGCGCGCACAATCAATTCATTGATTCATTTACTTTTTAATAGGCATTTTCTAGAAACATCTCATATGTCTTTAAATCTTTCTTATTAGATAGAAAATAAAATAAAGTATGATGTCTAAAAAAGAGTCTATCACCAAGGGGGCAGGAAAAAACTACTTTAACCGAAACAAAGAGACAAAAGAGTATCCCACTGGTTCACTCCCCAAATGCTGGGAATAGCCAGGGAAGGGCTAAGCCTAAGCCAGGGCCAAGAACCCCACTAAGGTCTCCCATGTGGGTGGCAGGACCCATTGTTTGAGCCACTACCTGTTGCCTCCCAGGGTTTGTGCCAGCAGTAAGTTGAAAGACCAGAATCTACCCCAGGCCCTTTGATAGGAAGGTAGATGCAGCTAAATACCCACCCCAATCTACAGTTAAATATGACGATCAGGATGTAAGATAAGAGTCTGCTCTTTTGTTTTTTTAAAGATTTATTTATTTATTTGAAAGTCAGAGTTACATAGCGAGAAGGAGAGGCAGAGAGAGAGAGAGAGAGAGAGAGAGAGGTCTTCCATCTGCTGGATCACTCCCCAGTTGGCCACAACGGCTGGAGTGATCCAAAGCCAGGAGCCAGGAGCTTCTTCTGAGTCTCCCACACAGGTGCAGGGGCCCAGCTGGCCACAATGGCTGGAGCTGCACCAATCCAAAGCCAGGAGCCAGGAGCTTTTTCCTGGTGTCCCATACAGGTGCAGGGGCCCAAGGACTTGAGTCATCTACTGCTTTCCCAGGCCATATCAGAGAGCTGGATCAGAAGTGGAGCAGCCAGGACTCAAACCGGCACCATATGGGATGTCAACACTGCAGGCAGCGGCTTTCTCCACTCCGCCACAGCACCAGCCCCAAGAGTCTGCTCTTATTTGGACGTGTGCTGAAATTCTCTGTCCCTACCACCTTCAGGCAGGACGTCCTCAGAGTGTACTGGTAAATGCAGTCTGTAGAGCAGTCACATCCATGATCAGCAACACAGTTTTCAAGGGAAAGAACTGGGTGGTTGGTCAATGTCCTCCAATTCTTGACACTTCTCCCTTCAAAGACTGAAGCTCAATGTCCCTTTCCCTGAATGCACAGGACTTAATGGCATGACTCCAATGAGAAGAACGTGGCAGAAGCAGTGGTGTGTAAGTTCCAAAACTCAGTTATCAAAGGCATTGCCACTTCCGCTTTGCCTTCTTGTGGACCATCGTGGCAAGGGAGACCCAAGCAGCCTGTGCAGAGCCGGCACGGTGAGCACCGACAACCAGCACCAACCCGCCAGTCCTGTGCGTGAGCCCCTAGAGACAGATCCTCCAGCCACAACCAAGTCTCAGATGGGGACCTTCCTCCCCCACATTGCTGAGCCACGCCACTCCAGAGAAACAGATGTAAAGTATGTCCACTGATGTTTAAAGCAAATAGTTTTGGGATAATTCATTATGTAACAACACTAAGTAACAATATGTTACTTCCAAGAATCCACATTTTATCTACAACAAGAAGTAAAAATAGCTTGGGTTTCACACTATGGTTTGCTCACAGGTTAACAACATTTCAAATTTTCCTTCTTAATATACTAAGGAGTGATCACTTTTTAAATGATCTAATTTAAATATCTCATAATATTATTTCACAATACTCATTACTTTCTAATTAAAAAAAAAAACAGATTTTAGTCAGCAAGGACTTTCTTTTAATACCTTCATTTGCAGAACAATGATACTAGGCTCTGAGTGGAAAACCACACCCTTGAAGGACTTGGAATTTAATTCAGATCAACACTCATGAACTAATCCACACGTTTCCCCTGAGCTTTCCCCGGCTCTGAAGGCTACAGAGCAGTGAAGAAGGCATGGAAAGTTCCTCCTTTACCTCCGTGAGGGATCCACAAGCCACACCACCACGCAGGGCTTCGTCCAGGGCAGGAAGGCTCGTAGGTAGGAAAGCCGGCGAGAGAGCGGCACACCTCTGTGTCTTCATCGCGTACGCCTACACAAGAAACAGATCACCTTCTTTCAACCTCCGCGGCTATTCGAAAACATAAGCCCCAAGCCTCCAAACTGTACACCTGTAACTCGAATCCATCCTCTCCCCCGCTGTAATATTTACTCTGTGCCAAGGACTATGCTAGACCATGGGGATGTGATATGACAGAGCCCCTCTCCCCCTGGTCTTATAGTCAACCAAAACTACGGAATTGGGACTACAAACTGGGCAAAACAACACAGTTAACAAGAGAGACTGTGACAGGGAGAGTGGAGACGTCAGTGTAGCTGATCTGGATTTTTTGATCCAGGAAGGCTCCAGCAAGGAGCAAGCTGCACGACTGAGCTACAATCTGCAACAGCTGTTAGATAAGCAAAGGAAACAGCAGGACAGAGGACGGAATGTAGAAAGAGAGGTCAAGAAACAATAAGGAGAAGAAATGGAAACTGAGGAAAACCGCTCTAAGTAAACGGAGTTTGTTTAGAAAGGCGGGGAACGGGCCGCAGCTGTCAGCAGAGGCCTCGTTGTCCAGAGTTTGCTGAAACATGTAGTTCACACTGACAGCGCCAATGCATGCCACGACCAAGTCGCCATTTCCAGCTCAGGTTGGCTTGTGAAGAACAGTCGGAAGGTAGAGGTGTGGCAGGCTCAAATCTCTGGAACCTCTATGAACATCACCTTTTTTGCAAAGAAAAAAAAAAGTCTTTGCAAATGCAATTAAATTCAGGACCTTGAGATGAAGAAATAATCCTGGATTATCCTGGGGGTCCCTAAATGCCACCAGAAGAATCCTTATAAAGAGAGGCGCAGGGAGATTCTCCATAGAAAGGAAAAGGCATTTGAAGGTGGAGCAGAGGAAGGAGCAGCCACAGCTAAGGCAGAGGGGTGACAGGCAAGGGATGGATTAAACCCTAGGCCTCTGGAGAGCAGAGCTCTGCCCACACCGCAACTTCAGGGCTGCAGCCTCCAGAACTGGGAGTGAATGCACTGCTGGTGTTGGGAGCCACCCAGGCTGTGGGGATTCCTGTTAGAGCTGCCGCAGGAACCCTAACACTACAGCCAATCCTCACTTCAAAGATGCTTGGGTTGGTCTGTGAACAATGGATTGAAGGTGGGGGGGTGATGCTGGAAGCTGCTGCAACCACTCCAAAGGCAAAGAGCAATGGCTGCAGGAGGGCGGCAGTAGAGGGGACGAGAACTTCCGGACTTCCGGGACTGGCAAATGTATCCAAGCCAGGTACGTGGGATATCTGAAGATTTTCTGGTACAATAACAATCGTAAAGTCTTTTTCTTATCCTAGGCATTTATCCACAAGAAATTACGCAGAAGATTCTGGTGATTTTATTTGCTGGTGTTATGTAGAACAATCCAATTTAATACTCTACAAAGAAAATTTTTTTAAAGATTTATTTATTTATTTGAAAAGCAAGAGTTACAGAGAAAGAGAGAGAATGAGAGGTGTTCTGCCAGCTCACTCCCCAAATGGCCTCAGCAACCAGGGCTGGGTCAGGCTGAAGCCAGGAGCCTGGAGCTCCATTTGGGCCTCCTGCCTCGTGGCAGGGCCCAAGTATTCACCACTGCCTTCTCAGGCACTTTAGCAAGGAGTTGGATCAGAAGTGGAGCAGCCAGGACTCAAATGAGTGTTCGTATGGGAATATGGCGTAGCAGGCAACAGCTTAGCCCATTGCACCACATTAGTCCAGAAAAATCATTTTTAAAATAACCTTAATTAATTTTCTGGAACATTAAAATTTTTACTTAATTCTAAAAAGATATCTAGTTTCTAATTTCCTTTTTTTTTTTTTTACAAGAGTTTTACAGAGCATCTCCCATTTGTAATGGTCTGTTTCACATTTCAGTCTAGTTTCACCCGTACAATCACTACCCAAGGATACCAGCTTCTGCCAGGCAACACTGCGATTCAGGAACCGTGAACAGGAAAAGACAAGGACAGGAAGGTAATGAACATCTCGTGCATGTCTATACCATGTGCTTTTTTTTTAATTTATTTATTTTTCTTGAAAGGCAGAGAGGGAAAGAGAGAGAGAGAGAGAGAGAGAGAGAGAGAGAGAGGTCTTCCATCTACTGGTTCACTCCCCAGATGACTACAGTGGCTAGAGCTGTGCCGATCTGAAGCCAGGAGCCAGAAGCTTCCTCCAGGTCTCCCACATGGGTGCAGGGGCCCAAGCACTTGGGCCATCTTCTGCTGCTTTCCCAGGCCATAGCAGAGAGCTGGATGGGAAGTGGAGCACCTGGGACTCAAACCAGTGCCCATATGGAATGCCAGCACTGCAGGCGGCGGCTTTACCCACTATGCCACAGTGCCAACCCCCGTATACCATGTGCTTTTTAAAAGTACATTACATATATTGTTTAATCTAGTCCTGGCATTCCTCCACACTGGCACCCTATCCATTCACTTCACAGAGTTAAAATTTTCTCCACTTCCAAGAGGCTAAGAAACTGAGACTAGCAGATTTGCCATGGGGGTCAGCAAGAACTATTGCTAGGTTTTTCCTATTTAGAGAACACAGTTTGCCTATGGAAAATTTGGAAAGAAACAAAAGCTGAGGCTCTCAGTTCCTCACTGAGGTGTCCACCTGGTCTGTCATGTGTTTTCCCCTCAATATTTCTCTTAATTAAACTTTCCTATCACACTTAGCACTAAAAAAAATTTTGAGGGGCTGGTGCTGTGGTGTGTAGCAGGTAAAACTGCTGCCTGCAGTGCCGGCATCCCATATGGGCACTGATTCAAGTCCCAGCTGCTCCACTTCTGATCCAGCTCCCTACTAATGTGCCTGGGAAAGCAGTAGAAGATGGCCTAAGTTCTTGTGCCTCTGCACCCACATGGGAGACCTGGAAGAAGCTCCTGGCTTTGGATGGGCCCAGCCTCAACCATTGCAGCCATCTGAGGAGTGAACTAACAAATGAAAGATATCTCTCTCCCTCGCTCTCTCTCGCTCTCTCTTGCTCGCTCTCTATAACTCTACCTTTCAAAATAAATAAATTTTTTTTAAAATTTTGAAACATAAGTCAGTAACTTTTACAATTCAGGAATAACTGGAATAACCACTAATAATAATAAAGTATGTATATATGTACAATCATACACATATATGACTTTATTTTTTATAAAGTTGGCATGTACACCATTTACAATTTCATAGCCTACTTTTTTGCTAAGTATGTATATCTTGAGGATTTCCAGTTATTAAAAATTCTTCAATGGGGCATAGTGTTGTGACGTAGTAGGTAAAGCTGCCGCATCCAGTGCCGGCATTCCATATGGGCGCCGGTTTGAGTCCTGGCTACTCCACTTCCGATCCAGCTCTCTGCTATGGCCTGGGATAGCAGTAGAAGATGGCCCAAGTGCTTGGGCCTCTGCGCCCACATAGGGGGCCCAGAAGAAGCTCCTGACTCTTGGCTTCAGATCAGCGCAGCTCTGGCCATTGTGCCCATCTGGGGAGTGAACCAGCAGATGGAAGACTTCCCTCTCTCTCTGCCTCTCTTTCTCTCTCTGCCTCTCTTTCTCTCTCTGTGTAACTCTGACTTTCAAATATAAATAATTGTTTAAAAAAATTCTTCTCAAGTATTTTAATGCCTACATAATATTTCATCACTCATAATAAAATTTATCTTCACTACTGTGGATTATTTAGGTTGTTTCCATTTTTTTTAATATCACATTTTACTCCCCAGGGCCCACAATGTCTGGGCAGAACTGGAAACTCTCGGGCTGGCGCCACGGCTCACTAGGCTAATCATTTTCCGCCTTGTGGCGCCGGCACACCAGGTTTTGTCCCGGTCGGGGCGCTGGATTCTGTCCCGGTTGGCCCTCTTCCAGGCCAGCTCTCTGCTATGGCCAGGGAGTGCAGTGTAGGATGGCCCAAGTGCTTGGGCCCTGCACCCCATGGGAGACCAGGATAAGTACCTGGCTTCTGCCATCGATTGGCGCGATGCGCCAGCCGCAGCACACCAGCCGCGGTGGCCATTGGAGGATGAACCAACGGCAAAGGAAGACCTTTCTCTCTGTCTCTCTCTCTTATTGTCCACTCTGCCTGTCAAAAAAAAAAAAAAAAAAAAAAAAAAAAAAAAAACTGGAAACTCTCAGTACAGGCTTCCCATGTGGGAGGCAACGACCCAATTACTTGAGGATCACCACTGCTTCCCAGGTTCTAGTAGGGAGCTGCACTCAGGAGCCAGAACTGGGAATCAAACCCAGGCAATCTAATGTAGGAAATGGTGTCCTAACTGCTAGGCTAAATGCTTGCCCCTATTTCTGATATTCTGAATACAAGAACTACTTCAGTGAGTGTGCCTTCACAGACATTTTTATCTATAATTTACCATCAGGCAACATGAGCACATTTGGAAACATTTTAACAGTCATGGCAAAGCAATCCAATATTGCAATACTAAAGTATTTCACTTCAACTATAAGTGTAATTACCTGAATAGATTTGGTGATTCTCAAAAAAATAAATAAGTAAAAGGAATAGCTCACAATAGGTAAGATACAGAATCAACCCAGGTGTCCATCAACTGATGACTGGATAAAGAAAATGTGGTATATTCATGATGAAATACTACTCAGCCACAAAGAAAGAATGAAATTCTATCTTTTGCAACTGGAGACCATTATGCTTAGTCCCAAAAAGACAAATATCATAATTTCTCTGATATGTGATAGTTAATACAAAAAAAATGTATGAATGAAACTGACATCGTATGATTTTTGTTTATAGCCCTTGTCTATTCTGTGGAATAGTGGTCTTTCTACTTTTTACTTGTTGAACATTATGATTAGTGGTGCATTAAGCATGTGATTATAAAGTAAATTGAAAGTATGTTACTGCAAAGATTAAAGAAAAAAAGAAAGGAAGGAGAGGGGAGAGGAAGGAAAGCATGGTTAACTTAGAATTCTATATATGAAAAATACAAAATCTGTTCTCTTTATAACAATAAAAATTCAGAAAAGACTTCAGATATAACAATATCCATATATAACAGTACATTCATAAGTGAGACAAAGGAGGGTTGGAATATGATATTATCCTAGTTTTTCTCCTGTTTTGTTAGCTGCTTCTCACACTCAGCATTGTCTAAGCTGACCTCTAAATGTTGGCATCACTCAGGAACTGGCCTTGGATTCACCTGTCTTCCAGGCAATCCCTCACCCATTCCCACAGCTTCAGCAACCCCACTTACACACACGAGTCCCAGATGCACACTTGTAGAGCAGGCCGCCCCTTCAAGGCCCAGGACCACATAATCAACTGCCTACCTCACAGCTCCACCAGATGTTTCACAGCACCTGCTCAAGTACTAAAACTGAATCCATGATGCCTCCCTCATGCGTATTCCTTCCCTCGGGAAAGGTGCACCCAGTTTCCCAAAGCAAAATCAGCGAATCATCTCTGAGATTTCCCTGTATGTCACCACCTACAGCCAAACGATCACCAAATCCTATTAATCCTGCCCCCTAAATCTCTCTCATATTAACTGATATCATATCCTCTGCATCAATATTACAGTAATAATCCAAGTCACTGGCCCTTCTGTCTGGAATAATAAAGTATCTGACCAGTCTTCATGAATATGTTCTTGCTTTCTCGTTGTTTAAAAAAAAAAAAAAAAACCACATATTACATTGTACTCTTTGATAAGAGTTCCCATTGCTCCAGGAATGGAGTCCCAAATCCTTCACATGGTCTGCAAGGCCCCAAGGACCTGACTCTGGCTTCTTCTCTTGCCACTCTCTTCCTCGTGGCTGCGTTCCAGTCACACAGCTTAATGTTATCACCAGACAAGCACCATTCCCTTTCCCTGCACAGGCCTTTCCAGTTGCTGTTCCCAATGCCCGCGATGCCCTCCCTGTTTCCCTCCCATGCCTTTCTCTATCTCTTACCTACTCATTCTTCACATTTTAGTTGAAGTGTGGCTTCCCAGGGAGGCTTCTTGGACTCCCAAACTAAGTAATGCCCGTTGTCACTGAATTTCAAAATTGCTGTACCCTGCCACCCATATGGGAGTCCTGGATTGAGTTCCAAGTTCCTATATTTGACCTGGCCCAGCCCCAGCTGTTACAGGTATTGGAGGAGAAAACCAGCACACAGAAGATCTCTCTCTCTCTCTCTCTCTCTCTCTCTTTTCCTCTGCCTTTCAAACAAACACAAATAAGTTTCAAAAATATTTAAGATTAAAAAAATTGGAGAATATTATAATTTAATCATGAAGCACTCAAATAAATTCTACCCAAACATTGGTAAAGGGCAGTCTTATGAATTATGAAGTATCACTACTAGGTGCCTGGCCTAGCAGTGAAGCCAGCATTTAAGATACCCATGTCCCACGATGGAGTACTTGAGTTCATTTCTCAGCTCCTGCTCCTGAAGCCAGATTCTTGCTAATGTGGACCCTGGGAGGCAGCAGTGATGGCTCAGATATTTGGATTCTGCTACCCATGTGGGAGCTCTGGATTAAGTTCCTAGCTCTTAGCTTCAGCTCCTGGTTGCAGTGGGCATTTGAGGAGTGAACCAGCAGATGAGAGATCTCTTTATCTGTAGATCTTTGTCTCTGTCCCTTGCCTCTCAAACAAGTAAATAAATAAATAGGAAGAAATATCACTATTGGCTCAGAAAAAAATCAAAATTTCCTATTGCTTGCTAATTCCCATATTTAGACTGTCTCCCATGAGATTATAAACTACAAGAATTTTTCAAATATACTATCATTATATTATCACATATACTATCACTATATACTCTAGTAGAAAGTTCAACTATTTCTGAGGTGCTCATCTATTTTTTGTTTTTGCCTCATCCCAAAAAGTTTTTAAATGAGACAAAATCAGCGTCACAATCAAATCATATTAGAATAGAATAGAAAGAAAGAAAATGATAGATAGATGACTGATAGATTGATAGACATATAGATAGATACCGTTTTCATCTGTGGCGCACAGGCCTTGCTGACCATGCACAGAAGTTCATGGACACCTCGGTAACTCAGGCCAGTCACTTTCATGAGCTCCAGTGGAGAAAGACATAAAAAGTCCTAAACGGACATAAAGAGAATATTTTAAACACCCATGTGTAACAAAGATATTGATACTATCTGTGAGTAAATGAAGTGTGTATTTGTAACTCAAGGATGTACGTGTCCTGTAAGGTATTTCCTCCCAAAAATGCCTTAACTAGAAAAGGCAGGACAGCGTGGCCCTGCCCGCTAATTCTGGCTGAGCTGGCATTTACACAGGACACATCCAGTAACGCCCCAGACAGCCGCAGCCAGGTTCATCCGAGCACTGCACTCAGGCCAGAGTCCGGGCCCAGATACACATCTAGAGGGCCAAAACGTGTTCCTTTTTAAACGAAGAGCTGCTCACTCAGACAAGGAATTTGATATATGAGAGAATAAAACTGACCACAGAACATAATGTTAAATTTCATACTTCTAGGAACAGAGGAACCAAAAATACCTTTAATGCACACTGCAATTTTTTAAAACAGCACCATGCTCTGAAAAATCTGTTTTATTAAGGATAAAATCCTAAGGTAAAATCTCAAATCTTATTTGTCCTAAGAGAAATTTGCTCTCATTA